CCTTTTTTTTTTTTTTTTTTTTGGCCTTTCTTTCTTTTTCTCATCTCAAATGTAAAAGAGTATCTCTAAGCTAGCCCACTAGTTATAATGAACTTAACTCAACTTACAGCAGAATTATTTCAATTAGTAAGTTTCAGAAATTATACTAAAAAAACCCCCATGTTTCTTAAAGATACTTTGGATCGGTAAATGAAATTCTATATATTACAAAGGAAAGTTAAAACTAGCAGGTTCATTAGATTTAAGTTTATATTTTAATGCTATATTCTGTGTTGTTGCTTTCTGAGAAATGTTTCTTCTCTTCACAACATGGCAAGAGCCTTCAGTAATGAGATTTAAAGTGGCAATAGCAGAGATTAAAGAAATTTAAAATATCAGAGGATTAAAGAAAAAAGGAACAGAGAAAAACCAGATGTCAAAGTGTAATCAGATTATAGAAATGGGATCTAACTGGGATGTTCTCCAAGGAAAGGTCAGTTCTCAGATATTTTGCTTTTGAATATTATTTTACCACCAGATGAACATAAAGCCACAGATGAAAATGAGAGGCTGAACATTTCTAAAGAAAGCAACAAGTCCCTTCTACACAAACCAATAGGTGCTGGCAGTTAATAGACAATACCAGCTGGCTTCTGTGAAAAGAAGGCCACAGCAAATCCCAAAGCTGAGGAAGAAATAGGATACAGCACAGCTCCACCATCTGCTGGTCCCAATTTTACTCCGCACACTCATATTCATGGACTTGCTTATTTTGCCGTGAGACATATCCATCCATCATCAGCCTCCACCCCCCCCCCCGATCAAGATGCTGGTCAGCAGAATGTCCACCTGTCCTGTCCTCTCAAGTTGACACACTGAAGCTGAAATGAGGCAGAAATCATGGTCTATGTAGTAACACAGGCCAAGAAATGTCCCTCTTAAATATAATCCTCCACAGTCTCATCAAAGAGATGAAAGAAAGAAAAACCGTAAGTCCAGGATGATACAATGGATGAGAATACTACAAATTTTATAAAAGCTTTGATAAAATGAAATGTTCAAAGCTTTCACTGAACAATGAAAGATTTATGAACAAAAACAAAACATTTAAAATATATAAGCAATCTTAAAATTACTCAAAGACAATTTAACTCAAATGTTAATTTTTGTTCCTAAATAAAAACATCCCTAAACTATCTTTGTGGTTTTACTTTCACCAAATAATTTTCAAGCCTTTCAGCAAAAAGAAAATTCCAGCTTCCTAGGAGAAGAGGGAAGATAAACAATAAAATGTGAAAACTTATTGTAAAACGGGATTGTGGAGAGGAAAAGGGGGGGTGAGTGACTCAGAACAGCACATGCCATGTACCCTGTCCAGGTTACCAGTAAATAATGACTAAGACTATAATTAGAGTCAATGTTACCTTAGCTTTTAAAGCCCACATTAAGTTCTCCTAAGTAGTTTGTACTTTAAAGTTCTGAGATAGGATCCAAAATGTGAACAGATTTAAATTCAGACTAAACAACCCCAAATCAGAATATAAATTCAAGGGATCTTATCACACACACACAAAATCCTTCCATTCATTTTCTAGTTCATACCACTTTTACTTCTTTTTATTTTTGCAAAAAGCAGTAGTTAGAATTAAGAGTTAGTTGGAGAAGACCATTTTTTCCCTCACAGACATCCTTAAAATCTGTAAAACTACTTATTGGTGGTTAGATAAAGTAATTTCATCAGTTTAACTGTACCACCTAAAAACAATTGCTAAATGAAAAACGCTGTTTTTGCTGTTAATTAGTTAGCTAGGCTAAGTGAGAGAGAGACATCATCAATGACAACTGAATCTGACCTTTTTAAACATAAGTTTGCATTAAACTCTAGAGTTGGAACAGCAGAGCTTTTTTAAACAAGAATTTCCTGCAAAACAACACAATAGTTTATTCTCATTACCAATTTTGTCTCTTCTTTTAACTCTTAATTTCTTTTTCTTGTGTTATTCCAGTGCCTAAGCCCTCCAGCACACTGCTTAATTAAAGCAGGGACAGCATGCATTCTTATGTTTTTTTTTCTGATTTTAACAGAAAAGCTTCTAAAGTTTTACCATTAAATACGACTGCTCACTCTAGATTTTTGGCATATTCCCTTTATTAGGTTAAAAAAATTTCAGATCCCCTTTACTCCAAGTTTACTAAAAGGCCTTTTGTTGTTGTTGTTAATTATGAAATGTATCAAATGTTTTTAATGTCATCTATTGAAACAATCACATACCTTTTCCTCCCTTTAATTTCAAGTGTTGAGAATTACACTAATACACACACACACTACAAAATTCTATTCATTTGTTTTTCATTCAGGATATTTTCATCTGTGTTCACTAAGACAGTAATTTCCCTTAAAATTTTTTTTTTTGGTACTGTCCGAGTCCAGTTTTGCTATCAGTCATAAAATGAATTGCTTAAAGCAGTTTTCTTTTTTTTTTCCGCAAAATAAGCTATATAATATAGGGAATAATCTATCCTGTGAAGGCATGGTAAAACTTTCCTGTAAACTTTCTAGGTCTTTTGGTAGGGAAAAAAAGGGGAAAGGAGGATTTTTGATTAGCAATTCAATTTCTTTAATAAGTTATTTGGAACTTCTTGAGTTAAAATTTTGTCATTTTCACATTTTATCTAATATCGCATTTTAGACTGCTGTCTTAGTTGTCCATAGCATTTTCTTTTGAGTCAGTGTAACACAGTTGTTTTGGATCAATCTTGCTAGATGTCTACTTAGTTTACTACTTTTATAATTTGTTATCTTAAGAACTAGCATTTGGATCTGTTCATCTTTGAGAGTTTTTCTTTCTTTTTTTCTTTTTTTGGCAGAGCCACATGTCTTGCAGGATCTAAGTTCCCCCACTCAGGATCGAACCCAGGCCCTTGGCAGCAAAAGCACGGAGTCCTAACCACTGGACTGCCAGGGAATTCCCATGATACTGTTTGTTTTTTATTTCATTAATTTCTTCTCTTGGTTTCCTTCCTTCACTTTCCTTAGACTGACTGTGCTGTTCTTTTCACCTCTTCAGTTGGTAGCTTAATTTTTTCAAACCTATTCTTTCATACTTGTTTTTTTTTTTTCTCCTAGTCTCAGACCTTCGCAAGGGACATGGGATGGAGTGACTAAATGCACTCAGCTTGTGCCCCACTGATGAGCTTCCCTCTGCCCTACTTTTTAGAGGATGGGGTGGGGGGTGTGGGTGAGTCTGAATTAGATTACGAGGCCCCCATACGGGGTACCTCACAACAGCCATTGAAATACTTATTGTTTCTAAGGCTAAAAGTTTACCTCTATCCTCTTAACTGCATCCTATTTGAATCCTAAAACTTTTGTAATTTCCACTATGATCTTTTTAATTCATTAGTTATTAAAGAGGGCATTTTAAAGCTTCCACACTTTTTTTTTTTTTTGCAGTATGCGGGTCTCTCACTGTTGTGGCCTCTACCGTCGCGGAACACAGGCTCCGGACATGCAGGCTCCGCGGCATGTGGGATCTTCCCAGACCGGG